AGGGGTAGGGTTAGGTCAAATAATGTCATATTTGCATTAAAAATGACATAACTGAGCAAATGACACTTAATGACAGTTGTCATAAACATGCATAAAAAACCTTCATGTGTCATGTCATAATTATGAAGGTGTAATGTCAGTCTTATGCTCACCCCTTCAAGTAAAGTGTTACCAATCATTTTTAAAAGTCTAATAAATGTTCAAACTGATAGCTCTCAATATTACTGTAATGTTGGATGGCGTTTAAACAATTTTCTGTAGAGACATCAGTAGTAGTGGTATCAGTAATACTCGCCTTCAGTCATAAAAAAAAAATTAACAAATATTAAAAATACACTGTCTTTATGTCGTTTCTACATTCATTTGTAGATTGAATGTGAAATTATTGCAATATAAAAGTATATTTAAAAACATTAAGTTAGGTGAGATTAATAGCGAGTAATCGTGATTAATTAAAAAAAAATTGCAATTAATTCGTTATTTTTTGAATCGATTGACAGCACTAATAATTAAATATATATCCATTCATATTTAATTAGAGTTAATAATAAAAATTATTATAAATGTGTAACTCTAAGAAATGCAAATGTCTGTGTACCTTAGGGTGAATGTTGAAATATCTATTGGTCTCGAAGCTTTTTTTCTCGTTCTCAGCATAGTACAAAAGAAAACTCTCCTTGATGATGAAGAATCTGTTATGAAAGCACAAACAGCAACAAGACATTCAATAATAACCTCACAGCTAACACTGCACATAATAAAGCCATTCTGTCCAGTGCAGTAAACACTACATGAAAACCCTTCACTGCTTCCTTCACAAACTCATAAATGACCAAATAACCATCAATTTTAACATTCATTTTCCTGGAATTGATCTTTATGAGACCTAATGTAAAAGAAAACTAACACGCACAAAAAAAAAACACCGGCAGCACAGAACGTCCTTATAGATCTGACTTACTCAGCTTTAAAGGCACATTTAAAGCTCATCTCAGTTCAGTTTATAATGATAGGTCACTCAATATCATCTAAAGCTTTTAAAGTGCATTACACAACAAGGCACCACACAAAAATAATATGTGCTTAAACTCAGTGCAAAAAAAAAAATTCACTACAGAACAAAAATACGAATAAATCCGTCACTTGTTCTTTTGCCTCACTGTACTATCTAGTAGTCTATAACATTATACATAAAACTCCATTGCTGACCACAACAACAACAACACAATGCATTGTATATCTCTGTGCAGAGAAAGTAAAACAACAAACTAAAATAAAATAACTAAAAATATTCCCCTAATAATACAGTCGTATACATGCTTTTAATTTTGTTACAGATTGTGCATAGTTAGGTCCCAATATTACCTGCGGGACCACTTGGCTGAGGGCCTCCCGAAAGGTCTCTTCCACAGAACCCCATGCAGTTGCACCTTGGTGCTGATATCCAAAGCGTCCGAGTCAGCTTGATCCATGGAGGTCCAGGGCGAGAGTAAGGAGGGTTTGGACGAGGAGAACATAGCTGACTCTTTCACAGGAAGTAGGAGAGGAGGAGGTGTGGTAAAATAAAAATGTCAATAAAGTTCAAATAGTAGCTCAATAGTTCAATAACCCTATAGAGCCGCATTCAAACAGACAGAGCTTATGATGCACTCACCAGTTATTCAGCGACGTGGAATGATGCATCTGCCAATAGTGACGTCAGCTGGTATCGGACAGTGTGGAAACAGAACGAGAGGGAGGGGGGAATAGATACCAGAGGGTTAGACCAAAAGGCTTTGGGAATTATAATTTTTTTTTTATCTGAGGGACGTCAATGCGATATTTTTAAGAGAAAAGCTATTACTTTATGGATTACATACAACACTTATGATGTTCTATCTATCTATCTATCTATCTATCTATCTATCTATCTATCTATCTATCTATCTATCTATATGTTTCTTTGACTATTTAAATTCCTATTTACATTAAAAAGAATTTTATAGATGAAATTACAGAAACAGGTATCTCGATACTTTAGCCTAAGCATAGACTTGCTATATTACTGTAAACCATGAAAATTAATCAGCATGAATGAATGGTTTCAATATTTCAATAAATCATTTCAATATTTGTGAAAATAATTTACATACATTTTTACACAAATTACAACTCAAACGTGTGTGCCATAAAGATCAAGCTTAATATAAAAGTATGAGACGTGATGTGTGATGAAATTTGTGTGTTGTTTCCAATCAAGCTGTAATTCTGTCCAAATGCAAAACGATTTTTTTATTGTGATTGTATTAAATTAAATTTGTACTTATTATTTATTTTTTTTTACTAAGAAATTAGACTTTTTCGACAAACGAGTAAGACATTCTATTCCAAAACTGTTTACAATGTCATTTCTACCACAGTTTGTTATAAAACACAATACATAATTTGAGATATATGGTGGAAATAATGTATAATGCATGCATGGCCGTTGTTGGAAATGGAAAGAGGACAAATTAAACAAACTAGCAAGAGTATGCATAGTATGTTTTAACAGAGTTTATTATTATTATTAATGTCATTCATTTATTATTTGTATTTATTTATTTTATTTTTACTCAGGGACACAAGTGCCTATTACCAAAACTATTTTGAAAAGGTAGGGAAAAGAGATTTCAGATGTTGTTCTTACATAAAAGAGCAATCTGTCCAATTTTACAGACAGATTAATCTGCTAAAGAGCCATTTGGTGCATAAATGTTCGGATTACAGATGTATTCCTGTCCAAACAACTTTAGCAAACACATTATGGATCTATATGCTCATAAATCTGACATATTTACAGTGATTTGTCTTATCATTGAATGTATGGTATCACACACATTTGTGAGTTCGTAGTTTGCTGATGGATCAGGGATTATGCACCCTAGACACTTAACACAGCTCCAGAGGATTTATATTTAATAACACTTCATCTGCGACTTTACACATGGACTAAAGGTTATTTGCATTTTACAGTACATCTCAAAGGAATGATATCGGTTTAACACAAGATTGTTACCACAGAAAATAATTCCAACTTGTAAAACAAAAATCAGTTTTACTGTATAATGCAGAAAAAGTAGAAAAATACATATTGTACTTTGTGTTAATTACATTATTATATTATGTATAGTGTTTATGAGCAGAAAACTGAATATTGTACTTTGTTATATTACATCATAATATATCCTGCTTCACATCACATTTATGCATCTGTAAGTTGCTTATAATATTATTATATATTAAAAAAACGGATAGTTCCGGTCCTTGATTCTGATTGGTTGAGCCCCGTTCGAAGCTGTTGTAAATTACTCTACAAACACACACCTTTGTTTACGTTTGTGTGTTGTTTGGCAACCACTTTGTTGCAACCACAGCTGTTTCTGAGGAACATTGTTTGGTGGAAGAATACTGTTGTTATTGATATCATTACACTTGATTTGCTGTTTTATTTTGTGAAACCTAACTATGTATATATGGAATAACCGTTTTATAAAAGCAATAAGCCCCGTGAAGCCGTGGTTTACAGTGAATTTATAACAGCTAAGGGGCGTTACGACGCGAAGCGGACAAAATGCCTCTTATTTTAACAGAAGCATGGCTTATATTGAAAATATGCAGGATACAAATGTCTTCCTTCTTCAAACATGACCTTCATGAACAATATTATCTCATTAGTTAAGTATGATAACTTTAGATAATTTATTAGGGCACAAATTGTTGTTTGTGGTGGAATTGATGCCTCAAAACAGGCATGACTGAGAGCTGTAATTTGTGTAAAAAAATTAAATTATTTTGACAAATATTGAAATGATTCATAATTATTTCTCTGTATTTGGATTACTATATTTTTAATGAAGAATTTCAATGTGTCTATTATTAAATAAAATTCATAATAATAAAAAAATCTGATGTACTCGTACACTATTTGGACTACAACATGGCATTATTGTAAACTAAAAGTTTATATATATATATATATGTAGACAGACATCCCAGATTGCTGCCAATATCCAAAGATGTGCCTGTGTATGTCTTTATGACTGGACAATAACTCTATTTTTCTTTAAAGGATTACTTATTTCTCATTTATTTGCTTTATTAATTCACAATGTGAAAATATGTCCCAATGCAATTCCAAATGTTATTAAAAAGGCAAAATAAGGTACATGGTAAGATTTGCATCCATTCAAAAAAGAAAACAACTTTATTCAAATCATGAACAGATCATTTTGAGACTATTTTAAGTTAAACAATTGCGAGGAAAAATAAGGCATACTCCTCTTGCGGAATGATCACATAAAAGCCCAACACTTTGAACTCATCATATCCCACCAATTTGTAAAATCTATATCCCAATACCACCACCCTCCCTCGCAGCTTTGGGCTGTGTGAGTACAATCAGTCAAAATAAGTCAATATGGCACCGCATTTCACCTAACCAATCACCATTCAGTTCCATTTTATATCTGTCCCAAGTCTCTAGGAGGAGGTCATGTCGCAGTATTCGACTGAGGCTAAGTGTATGCAGTTTTCCCTTTTAAAGGAGTCTTAAAAAATAATCTACAAATCAGCTTGAAGTCTCTCATCAGCGTTAATGCTGTGCTTGCGCACTACGGTAAGATGAGGGCGCTAGAGTGCTAAAAGCACTAACACAGCTTTCATACAGACCAGTGTGGTTCCCAACAACATACCTGGAGGCCCCCAAATCTGCACATTTTGCATGTCTCTTTAATCAAATACACCTGATTCAACTCATTAGTAGAGACTCCAAGACCTGAAATAGGTGTGTCAGACAAAAGGAGAGATGCAAAACGTGCAGTGTTGGGGGGCCTCAACTAACGTGGTTGGGAACCACTGATATAGACTATGACTGTTATTTTTTCAGAGCACGACAGCAACACTTTGTAAACCAGGACCATAGGTTGTTGCTGGTGTCCATGTTGGCCCCAAAAGTCTCAAAAAATTTTCTTATTCAGGCTTCAAAGGTAACAGTTAAGTAACTTGGTGACGAACACAGCAGCATTCATGTTCGTAGATCGCACTTTCAAATCTAAAACCTTTAGGTGTCAAAACCAGGAATCCAGCATATAATCTTTCTAACTGACCTCACATTCTCTTCAGTCAAGACAAATAAGACGACCCATATTAAAACCGAAGTATCAATGCCATTAACTTAAAAACGATCTTTCTATCCCACTCATTACGTAAGCTAAAATGAGACTAAAAACTACTCTGGGTGTCAAATAGGGTATTTTGGTTTGTCATTTATACAGAGAATACATATTTACAGTACACAGGCTTTGCTCGAAGCACAGTACAAAACATCTGAATGACCATGAGATCCTTTTTTTTTTTTCAGGCTTAAACAACCAGTCTGGTTTGAAAAAAGTGGTTAAAGTCAAATAATAAAGTTGTACATGCATTGAGCTCAACAGAACAATGTCCACCTGCAAGCCTTTGGACTACAAACCTTCAAGTGTGATTTAATAATAAAAATTAAAATCCTAAGCAACTGATTGAAATTAACCACAAAATTGTTTTTTAATATTTTAAATTCTACTAAGAGATGTCATATTTGTCCAGTAACCATATGCATGACATTTTTGAATAAATTACTGTAGTTTATAAGCAGAGAACAATTTTATCAGTAGCCAAGTTTGGGAAAACAAAGCCCCATACATCGTTGTATGTTCCCATATTAACTCAGAAGCATATTTATTAATGGAATACAGAGTAAAACTGTTATCTCATTAATAAAACTACATTAAAACAAATAGTATAACATCAACGGAGTAAAAACTAAGAAAACATGGAAATGTTCTTAATGAAAACAGGTTTAACTGACTAGCTTAGGCAAGGTGTAATTTGATCAAAGTTTAAAATAGCTAATCAATACTGTAAAAAAAGGGGGACAAACTCAAAATAATTACTCGAGGACTATGACTTTAATGTTTGTAAAGTATCTACATTTTTTTTATCATTATGAATGAAAGATTAATGGACATTTCATATAAAAACTAATAGAATACCAAATTTAAAGCATTCAAGACTACCCACCAACAACCGAATCTTTTAAACCAGCACCACTGAAGAAAACATAAAATTAAGAGTTGGACACGATCGAATATATATATATATATATATATATATATATATATATATATATATATATTTTTTTTTTTTTCATTCTTTTATTTGAACATACCTGACTGAGTCCTACGTAGGTGAGCATGGCCAAAACAGGGGCAGCCAAGGCAAAGACCAATAGATGTTTCCGGATACGGTTTCTTTCTAAACCTGCATGCATGAGGAAAGAGACGAGTCCAAACGCGGCAGGAGCCTGAAATACAAGACGCAATGATAGCAAACCAGAATTAATCAAATTTAACGAGTATAAAAAAAATTACTTAAAATTAAAAGGCTAAACAGTAAACAAAAACATAAGGCAAGCAAAATGAAAGGTGTAGCTGTACTGATTTACAGCCACAAAAAAAAAAAACACCTTCCATCGGAAACATAAATTAGTTCAATTAGTTTTAAAGGGGTCATATGATGTGATTTTAATTTTTCCTTTTTCTTTGAACTGTTACAAGCTCTTTGTGCATAAAAAATATCTGTAAAGTTGCAAAGACTAAAGTCTCAAATCCAAAGAGATATTCTTTATAAAAGTTAAGAGTCAGCCACGCCTACCTAAAACGGCTCATTCTAACACGCCCCCACATATCTACCTCACTATGTGGGAAGATTTGCATAACACCGCCCAAATGTTCACGCAAAGAAAGAAGGCGTAACTTTTATTCTCTGTGTAGTATTGTTGTTGCGGCCGCTGCCATGTTGTGGAGACGCTGTGTGTTTTGTTGTGAAAACGAAACTACTTTGTTTGGCCTTCCAAAAGAGGACACGACTAGAAATCAGTGGTTAAGTTGTATTTACAACACTGTTCCAGAACAGTTCAACCCAAATATTCAGATGTGTGCAGCACATTTTATGGAGGACTGTTTCCTGGTAGAGTTGACTACAATGCCGGCTGTTCTGACTCACAGAATGTAAGTAAGTTTTCATATTTAAAGGATTTGCCACTGATGATTCAAACGCGAGTTTTGAGCAGTGTAGAGTAGCGCTTGTTTGTCATTTCTCCGATCACAAATGCAGACATGGTTTTAGGTTTACGCGGCGCGATGCAATGCAATGCGTAAAAAGACAGTATAAGTCATTATAATCCGTAATTATGTCCCCACTGGATGCAACAAATGCCTCGTTTATAATGGGTTTTAATGTTTTTGAATCGTCACTCCGGCTGGACAGGGCATCACAGTATGGTAGGGGCGTAACATTTCCGTCACACGCTTGAGGTATTCGGCCAATCACAACGCACTGGATAGCTGGCCAATCACAGCACACCTCACTTTTCAGAACGATGAGCTTTGAAAAAATGTACGCGTTTCAGAAAGGCGGGGCATAGAGGAGAAACAATAATGTACAGTATGTGGAAAATAATGTTTTTTTTTTTTTTTACTTTAAACGGCATAAAAACATTTCATTACACCAAATAGACACAATAATGATCTTTTTAGCAGCATCATATGACCCCTTTAAAAAGTAGCCCATTGGAAAATAATGGCAGAGATGGAGAAAATAGAAAAGGATGATGTGAGTGCAAGTACGGTCAATCATTTACAGTTAGGTCCATATATACTTGGACACTGACACAACTTTCATAAAAGTGCAGACTTTAAACTTTAATTCAAGGGGTTGAACAAAAATATAACATAAAATGCTTAGGAATTACAACCATTTTTTATACACCGTGCCCCCATTTTCAGGGTCTCAAATGTAATTGGACAAATAAATAAAATGTTCATTTTTAATATTTTGTTGAGAATCTTTTGCAGGCAATGACTGCCTTCAGTCTAAAACTCAAGGACATCACCAAAGACTGGGTTTCCTCCTTTGTGATGCTTTGCCAGGCCTTTACTGCAGCTGCTGTCAGTTGTTGTTTGTGGGTCTTTCTGCCTTTAGTTTTGTCTTAAGCAAGTGAAATGCATGCTCAGTCGGGTTGAGATCAGGAGACTGACTTGGCCATGGCAGAATATTCCACTTTTTTACCTTCAAAAACTCCTGGGTTGCTTGTGCTGTTTTGGGTCACGGCCCATTTGTATGAAGCACCGTCCAATCAACATTGCTGCAGTTGGCTGAATCGGGGAAGACAGTAAATCCATATACCCTTCAGAATTTATACGGCTGTTTCTGCCTTCTGTCACGTCATCAATAAACACCAGTAACCCAGTGCCACTGGAAGCCATGCATGCCCATACCATCACACTGCTCCACCATGTTTCACAGATGATGATGTTGTATTCTTTGGATCATGAGCTGTTCCAAGCCTTCTCCATACTTTTTTCCTTCCCATCATTCTGGTACAGGTTGATCTTAATTTCATCCATCCAACTAATGCTTTTCCAGAAGTGGTCTGGCTTTTTTAGATGTTCTTTGGCAAAGTCTAATCTGACCTTTCTATTATTGAGGCTAATGAATGGTTTGCAGCTTGTAGTGAACCCTCTGTATTTGCTCTGTTTCACTTGCATGGAGAGCTCCTTTGACCGCATGATGTGGGTTCACAGCAACAGCTTTCAAATGCAAATGGCACACTTAGAATCAACTCCAGAACAATTACCTGCTTAATTGATGTAGAAATAGGCATGGAGAGCTCCTTTGACCGCATGATGTGGGTTCACAGCAACAGCTTCCAAATGCAAATGGCACACTTAGAATCAACTCCAGAACAATTACCTGCTTAATTGATGTAGAAATAGCGAAGGAATAGCCCACGCCTGTTCCTCCAATTTTGATGAGAATACCCTCGAATTGAAGCAGAGTGTGCACTTTAAGCCCATATTCATACACATAACTCTAACTTGAATATGTTTTGGTCAACAGCTAAAATAATAAAAATTGTGCCTGTGTTCAAATATATATATGGACCTAACTGTATCTGTTTATCTTCTTGATCTTTCATTCAAAATATTGAGAAAAAATTAAACCTGTAAAGTAAAATAATTCACAGCATTTTGGAGAAAAAAAAAAAAAATGTAGAATAGTTATGTAAAATTTTACTTCAATTAAAACCTGTCCATTTTGCTCATACTTCGCCCACGCCTGTCCATGAAACAGCTTTTGAGTCAATTGTCCAATTACTTATGGTCCCTTGAAAAAGGGGGGGAGGTACATATTAAAGAGATTCAATTTCTAAACCTTTCCTCCAATTTTGATGAGAATACCCTCGAATTGAAGCAGAGTGTGCACTTTAAGCCCATATTCATACACATAACTCTAACTTGAATATGTTTTGGTCAACAGCTAAAATAATAAAAATTGTGCCTGTGTTCAAATATATATATGGACCTAACTGTATCTGTTTATCTTCTTGATCTTTCATTCAAAATATTGAGAAAAAATTAAACCTGTAAAGTAAAATAATTCACAGCATTTTGGAGAAAAAAAAAAAAAATGTAGAATAGTTATGTAAAATTTTACTTCAATTAAAACCTGTCCATTTTGCTCATACTTCATTTACTAAAGGTGCAAATATTAGGGGAGCTCACTCTGTTTATCTTCTTGATCTTTCATTCAAAATATTGAGAAAAAATTAAACCTGTAAAGTAAAATAATTCACAGCATTTTGGAGAAAAAAAAAAAAAAAATGTAGAATAGTTTTTATGTAAAATTTTACTTCAATTAAAACCTGTCCATTTTGCTCATACTTCATTTACTAAAGGTGCAAATATTAGGGGAGCTCACAGTATATATTTAAAGCGCTGAATACAGAATTCCACAATTATCATTACAATAATACACAACAGGGCAATGCATTAAAGACACAGTCTCAGATACATGCAAAGCACCTGTTGCGAGAGCTTGTGTAAAAAAATGGTTTATGCTTCTAAGTTTGGCTACCAGTGGCATTAATATTTGTCAAATTTCACAAAATAAGATATTTTGATAATGAACTGATATTTTATTACATATTTAAAATATACTGAATCTATGTTTTAAATATTTGGAAACAAGCACCTTTATTTGAAAAGGTGCCTACATTTAAATTTAGTCATTCAGCAGGTATTTCTAAACAAATGGATTCAAATAAGAAACAGCGCAAACAATTTATCCCAAGAGTCAATAATATATTCACAGAACAATAATGTAAAACTGTACCTTATGCAACATAATGGCCACAAATACAATGAGCTGGACGCTGGTCTGAGATGTGGACGCAGCCGCTCCAAGAGCAACACCATCAGCTGGAGCCACAGAGAGAATATGATTATTGGTCAGATTTAACAATACATATGACACGAATACGATCTGAAGATAACATATTACATAGAAAAAGTTTGGATAACGCAACTAAAGACTTTTCACAAAATAAGATATTTTGATAATGAACTGATATTTTATTACATATTTAAAATATACTGAATCTATGTTTTAAATATTTGGAAACAAGCACCTTTATTTGAAAAGGAGCCTACATTTAAATTTAGTCATTCAGCAGGTATTTCTAAACAAATGGATTCAAATAAGAAACAGCGCAAACAATTTATCCCAAGAGTCAATAATATATTCACAGAACAATAATGTAAAACTGTACCTTATGCAACATAATGGCCACAAATACAATGAGCTGGACGCTGGTCTGAGATGTGGACGCAGCCGCTCCAAGAGCAACACCATCAGCTGGAGCCACAGAGAGAATATGATTATTGGTCAGATTTAACATAATACATATGACACGAATACGATCTGAAGATAACATATTACATAGAAAAAGTTTGGATAACGCAACTAAAGACTTTATTCACACTATTATTTTTTTACCTGCAGCATGAACGACCAATCCAAGTGTGGTGGTGACCTTAGAGCTAGCAGTCCTTGCTGCTTCTGGATCTAAAAATGTGGCGAGAACAGATTCAGACACTTTACACCATTCTAATTTGTCATCAAGTGGAAAACAAAAATGCCAGCGTCACACCGACCGTCACTGCTGTGCATGTGAGAACTGCCGATCTGATCCACCAAGAGCATGAAGACGAAGCCCAGCACAAGAGAGACGCCGATATAAGCGTGGAGCTGCTCGTGACTGTGGCCGTGTTCACCGCTCTGCACCACGTCTCCTTCTACAACCTTCTGTTCAGAAACTTCGGTCTCCACCTGCCCGTGGCCATGGTGGTGTGCACCTAAACCAAAACATGAAAGAGCACAGCTTTGGAAATAATTTATATAATCGGTAATGGGGAGTGACTACAGGTTTTGGCACTACTAAGTTAATTATAGTAACAACAATTAGTGGTTTAGCAAAATGCTAAAAAGCTGTATTAATGGCACACTGTACTTGTGCATAGCCTCATATCCAAACCTGCTCTGTCTCATATGAAGTACTAGATAGTTTGATTCATTCCAGTAAATTTCTTTGTTCAGACAAATCATTTCAATGAACAAACAAATAAACTAACTAATCAAATAAAAAAAAGCCTTTTAGGTATTTTTATAGTAAAGTGACTACTTCTGTACTCTGATTGTATTTCATGTAAATGTACAAATCACAAGCTTGCGATTCGATTGCCAATTCGATTCGATATCGATTATTTTGGATATAAATCAGGTACAGTACATGCCAAATGTTCTCAAGGAAAAAAAAAAATCTCTCAACTAATCAGGGATGCAGCGATTAACCGGTTTCGCGATTAACCGCGCTTTAAAACGTCACGGTTAATTAATCGTAAAGGTTCCGCTAAACCGAGTGTTTCTGTTACACGGAACGGAACTGTTGCAGCTTGCGCAAAACGAAAAAAGTTACACTAGCGGTGCACCAGCTTAAAATGAGGTGCTTATCAGAGGCACGGAGGCTACTACATACATTAGATTAACTGTGACAGAGGGGCCAAACAGCGAAGCTTTATTTCCACCAGAGAAATGCTTGTCGATAGTGTGGGACCATTTTGTGTACACCAAGAATGACCAAGGTGTCATTTAAATATTGCTGTAAAAAAACTGCTGCTAAAGAGCGAATACATAAGGGATAATGCACGGCTTGCTGTACACTGAACGATTTTAATGCGCAACGTGAAGGCAAGAACCACGTGAAGCTACAGCTGAGAGCGAGAGAGAGAGCGAGAGCGAGAGCGAGAGAGAGAGAGAGAGAGAGGGGTGGCAGTTGCCTGTGTGAATTAGCCTACCTGCGTCTCTCCAGTAGGCTATTTAATCTATTTTATTAATAAAAGTTGATTACAATATTTCAGTTTAGTTCCATCATCAGTAACAGTTTCCCCTGTGGGACAAATAAAGTTAATATTAGTCGTATATTAATAATAGCTAGGCTACTTCATTAACTTTGTTATTTGCTATCCCTGTTGTAGTATGATTCATAAGTAAAAACCAACAATATTTTTTTTTCACCATGTTTCCAAAGTCTCTACCCCAGGTCCAAAAGAAATGTAAAGAAGGTACAAACTGAAAACATTAAATACTTTTGCGATCTATTTCCATTTGTTATTTTCAAAAGAGAAATACTGTCATGGATGTTTACAGAGCAGAGGTCACCTTTTTTTTAATTCCAATGGGAGAGATGGACTTTTGTTTATGATTATTTTGTGCTGTATTGTTGGTTACTGTGTTATTTCGGTCTCAAAAGCCAGAAATAAATAACACTTTAATATCTAAAGAGTGTTCATGTGATTTTATACATTAGTAATGTTGGGAAATGAGTAAATGCCTAATAATCGTCATAATCGTAAAACCGTGATTATTCCTCAGGCAATAATCGTACCAACAAAATCCATAATCGTTGCATCCCTACAACTAATGCTGTAAAATATAAATTTTATGTATATACATTTATGAGTCAGTTGGTACTACATTATTATAATATTGAAGTTTAAAATTAACTGATTTGTTAAAATTTCACTTAATGAAGTTTTTAAAATAATACGGTTACAATTACACAATATTTCTACATCATTTAGTTTTTTTTATATAAACTTAATGGTGGCTGTCATAAAATGATGATTTTTTCAAACATAAATTAAACATTGAAGAACAGTAAAAATGTATAATGAATATGTTCTATGGTGCATATATTTAGCAAAATGCCCCTCTCTACAGTTTATTTTTCTATCTGACTAATGAGTTTATGGTCACCGCATATGTTTTTCTGAGGTAAATGTGACATTGTTTACAAACGGTTATATTGATGTCTTTGCGCGGCTGAAACACTGATTGAGCGATTACATGAGACAGGATACGGATTGTAAAGTTGTACTCTTTCTTTTAACTTACCTTCAGATGTTTAGTCATGTTTTATTTGAATGTTGAATTGAAAAATTTATTTTGTGCTGAAACTGGTATTAATGTGGAGGAGATGATCGGTTCACGTGCGCTACGCGCTGCTGCGTCTGTTGATCGAGGCGCTACAGCGATCTGTCACTCCACATTAAACACATTAAAAACTTTTCAACGGTGGTGTGTGTGTATATATATATATGTTTAATAATGTCACTAATTAAGATTAATTTGCTCAAAAAGCCTTGTTTTGTGCCAGAAATAATGCAGGTCTAACTAAATAATTTTATTTACATATTCATATCCATAATTATTTATGTTTTAACGCCATATCAGCAACAATGGCTATATTCATGGCAACATTAACAATATTATTTCAATTCATCATTTACAATAATATAACATTTTCTTAAGAAACAATCATTACACAAAAGCATACAAGAAACAACAATAGTACGGATACAAATCATACACAATCATCCAGTTTAATCGGTGATAAAAATTCAAAAATTCTCCAAGGGGAGACTTTTTTTGTTTGTTTTTTAATGTCTTTTAGTATATATTTCCCAATAATGTCGTTGTCTAATATAATTTAAAATTGGACTTTCTATTAAAATATGTTTTACACAAAAAATTCTTACACAAGTCACAGACTGGTTTCTCATCGCCTATCAATAAATATGAATGAGTGAGTCTTGAATGTCCAATTCCACATCTTGTATACAACCTGCTCATATCTATTTTCAAAACAGTAATTAGGGCCCGAGCACCGGTGGTGCGAGGACCCTCTTGTAATAAATCTGCAAAAATGTCAACAATTCTGTGTTTTTCTGTCAATATGGGGTGCTGTGTGAACTAATGAAGAAAAAAAATTTACTTAAATGATTTTAGCAAATGGCTGCAATATAACAAAGAGTGAAAAATTTAAGGGGGTCTGAATACTTTCCGTACCCACTGTATATATATATATATATATTGGACAGAATTTGAAATCTGAGACTTTGTTTCATATTAAAAGTACCAAAGCACAATGCTTATTGTGATATATTGGATGGGAAGTGCCCTTCAACGTTCCATCTATTAACTGAAAACAGGCTAGACTAATATCGTTCCGTAAAAATGAGAATCGATTGGCTATTATAGAGATGGGTATTTTTTACCCAGCCCTAATGGGGTCCGTAAGATTTTTTAAGACGACATATCATTTTACAAAAGTTTTCTATTTCAAATAAATCCACAAAAATATTAGGCAGCACAACTTATTTTTTTGAACACTGATAATAAGAAATGTTTCTTGAGCACCAAATCAGCATGCTTTCTGAATGATTCTGAGAAACTGAAGACTGGAGTAATGGTTGATGAAAGCTTTGCCATGACAGGAATAAATTATATTTTAAACTACTTATAATCATAGCGCCACCTGTTGGCAATAGGACACATCATGCTTTACACTAACTCAAATATACCATGTTCAATCTGCACCAAATTTCATGTTTGATAAAAGTGCTGGACTGAAGAAATCTGCATGCCAAAATCCAGTTATAGTCATAGCGCCACCAGCTGGCAGCAGGATGACTGGCACATATAAATGACTATGAAATATTCCTCCTTCATTTACCACTTTAAATGCATATTGCTCGCCGTTCGCTGTCTTACTAAAGACGCCCGCTGGCGGTGAGCCAGGGTGCGAGGGCCCGTTCATCGCTGCTTGCAGCTTTAATTACTTCTGTAATTTACTACTGGATTCACCTCATATAGTTTGATCCATTTAATAGCTCAAATCTCTACAAAGAGTCAGCTACATTTCGTTAGTAGCTTATAGTAAAGATAACTATAACTTTTTTTTGTTTTTATTAATAAAATAAAATAAAAGTAGCCTGACTATAGTTTAACTATAGTCAATAGTTTAGCTAATAGCTTTACAGTAGAATGCCTACCACACATGAAAGCATTCCTACAGATACAAATCTACATAACAGATAAGGATTTAGGAATGAAGAACTTTGCCCAACTTGGGAGTGGGCGATACGGCAAAAAAATATAATACCACAATTTTTTTCAGGAAAATCACGATTCCCGATTTTAGCACGATTCTTTGTCATGCTGGTTTGACTATTTTCAAAACTAATTCCCTATTTTAAAATCAAATCCTTACAAAGTAACAAGAACAACAAAAAGGCAGATATTTAGGCCAAAGTGGGCAAAGATAAAAAAGCTGTCATTATTAGATCTGTGTTATTAAAAATTAAGAACAAAGATACACATTTTGAATATACATAACATACAAATAAAACAAACAGTGCTTTATTTTTCAGGTACAGGAGGTGTATTTAGCAGTAGCAGATATAAAAATAAAAAAAACACTATGCACTTCACTGTATAACTTATACACTGATTCTTATTTAAGCAACTGTAAGTTCTTCAGTCAAGAGCAGAGAGTGATTTTTCTCTTTGTGTTTCCTTGTTTTATTGAGATTAAAGGGATAGTTCACCCAGAGCTGAAAATTCTGTCATCATTTACTTACTCTCAAGTTGTTTTTAACCTGAATGAGTTTCTTTCTTCTGTTGAACATGAAAGTTATTTTGAAGAATGTGGGTAACCAAACAGTTACTGGTCCCCAGTGACTTCCATAGTATTTTTTTTTCCTACTATCAAAGTCAATGGGGAGCAGCAACTGTTTGGTTACCCACATTCTTCAAAATATCTTCTTTTGCGTTCGACGGCATTTAAAAATTAACACAGGTTTGTAAATAATGTAAAATAAATGAGTAAATTATGACAGTGACGCAGAGCTCGCAAACAAATCGCTAGCCCGACGTCCCGGGGCTATTGTGTTTTACAGTCGGGCTACCAAAATGTATCACTGCCCTCCCCGACGGGCTATCTTGAATAGTGATATAAAATCCCTTCCTTGATTTGCATTGTTCACTCACTTGTAGGGGTGAAACGGATCACAGTTTATCATTCACGTGTTTCTAAGTCTTACCAATTTAAACATTCACGCGCATGAAGAATTCAGTTCGGTGCTCGCGCGCACACGCTCAAAGCGTGCACATACAGAGCGGCGTTTCAGGCAGAGCACGAACACAGAATTGATTCCTCTTTTGCTTGAACGGACACATACAAGCGAAATAATCTCAAAATAACTACCTCGGAAAGTATTTTCATGTCTTAAATGAACGTAAACAGTGGAGAAAGAAATCGCACATGCATCATTATATTGGATCTGTGCATTCGGTCTTAAAGGGGCAGCAGCCTATAAATACCTGCTGTTTAAGCGCCACCTGCTGTCAGAGAGTGACATTTGTGTCTCATTCAGCCCGTCTGCTGTTTTTGTTTCGTTCAGATTTTTTATGTAGTATCACAAAGCTAAATTCAGACCATTTTGTTTTTGTTTCAAATTTCTAAATCGTACAATCTAAATAACATGCATGCAGCATCTTTGTTTGGACCGTGATTAAAATACACAGGCAAAACCTTAGTTTACTTGCATGGAGAAATTTCTTTTATTTGTATTTATTTATTTATTTGATTTGGGATTTGTTTTAAAATGTCAAGTTAGTATATTGTTTGACATTTTCATTTTCACAAAGTAATGTGCAGCCTTCTGGTCTGAGAAATAACAAAAGGACACCTTTTTTTTTTAAATCTGCCTTAAATCTAATTTTGTTAAAAAAGAAATTGTGAGAAAATTGTATTGTGAAATCAGTATCGTGAATCACATCACATCGTGAGTTGAGTGAATCGTTACATCCCTATATGCTACTAGTTTTGCTGTGGTATCGAAGTAGTAAATTGTTCTTTAAATAATAAGTGTTACTTAAATTATAAAGAATATTATATTTTTAACATTAAGATATTTTTTTTGCTTATCTGAAAAATGATCCGATCTGTGACTCAAAATGTGATATGATAATGTAATATAATCCGAACCGTGAGATTTGTGATCCA